CCCAGTGCAATCATTCTGCCTAATTGTCCCGCGGAAAATTGTAAAAAACCAAAAATTTATTTTCAGACCACTCTGATCTTGTTGCAATGACCTACAGAAAACAAAAATTTGAAATGACAAATTTGGAATTATCATAAAATCTTTCAAAATGATCCAATACCTCTTTTCTAAATTCAATCAAACCAATATTTTTGCGAAAAGTTTTGATATTGTTCAAATTACCAGAAAACAGACCAAAAAATTAATATTTATTAAAAATCCTTGTACCTCTTCAAAAATTGACACATAGACGTAAAAACGAATCCTGAACCACTTTTCCCTTTACAATTTTTCGATTTCTGGTCATCTAACCCCACTTTTCACATATTAGAGGCGAACTTTTCAAATTGCCCGCCATAACTGTGGTCACATGACATCTGTCACAGTCACTGATGTAAAATGACAGTCATTTAAAATCGTGACGGTCATTTGCGCCATGACATGTCATGACGGTCATGATCATGGTCATAGTTCATAGTAATTATTTCAATTTAGAACGCCACTACCCACAGTTTATGGTCTTTAAACTCACAAATGGGTTTAAAATAGGGACAGTCAATTATTGATTGAGTTTTGACAAATAATTGAGGATTTCAGAACAGAAGAAATTTCAACAAATAACAAATAAAATAACAAAAATAATAGCTTTTCACCTAACAAATGCAGCAAGTGATACTTCACCGCATTCAAAATTATACCTATGAGCATCTATCTCCAAAAAAAGGCATTTTTGAAATTTCTGAACGAGAAGGGATTTTTGAGAGTACCTGAACACCGAATCTACTTTACCGCATACTATGCAGTCTACTTTACTACTGCACATTTACACACTATGCAGTTAAACGGTCTAACGGTCACATTGAATGTGACGTGACGGTCATGACCCGCCGTCATGCGCGCTGGTCATGACTCACTAACATCACTGGTCACAGTGCTTTTTTTGTTGATAGGTATGCTGAATTGATCCCACGTAACATTCTTTTTGATATCTTGATAATAAAATATTTTCCCATTTGTTGCAAACTTTTTGGCGGTCACTGTATGTGTTGTTGTTGCTTGATTGTTTGGCCGGTGTAGTTACTGTAGTACTGTTTGGATTTTCCACATTGCTTTCCAATCTCATTGTTTTTAATGCCCCATGCCGCTTTTGTTGGATATTTGTTGCTGTCTCGATAATTTCTTTATTGTGCTAGATTTTGACTCGGGCAATTTGCTTCCTGTATGTTTTCCTTTTCATTTTATATCGTTCTTTTAGTTCATCAGTGTTTTGTATCTTCATGGGGTCATAAGTGGTTTTTAGGTCAGCTTTCAATTTTTCAGCTCCAGTGTGGCCCGTGTTTTTTTTTTTGGGTGGTGCTCGAGGGTGTCATGTCAAAAATCCTGACCAATAAAGAAACAATGCGTAATGCGACGTACGTTTGATTGTTTTTTTTTGAAGACCCGTTATATCGAAGTGCCATGTGCCATCTTATCGCATTTAATAATGAGTTAAATGATTCATCTATGTCATCCCTCTATACAGGGTGAATCTGAAAGTGAGGCTTTTTTTTTAACAGGATGTATATCTCACCAAAATAAGTTGTTTGGTAGAAAATTGTTTATATAAAAAATTTAAGATAATGGAGGTACAGCTATTTTGAGGTTAGAGGAGTCTTCCACTATAAATCACTTTGTTTACATTTTCTCAAGAAAAAAGCCGCAAAAAAGCTATTATTAGTCCAGCATAATGAGTCTTATTCCATAATAGGTACTCACAGTTGCATAATTCCATCAGAAAAAATTTCATTTTCAACCTATCAAGTTTCGTTTTAAAATAGAACAGACAAAATTTAGGAGGGAAATGAAGCATCAGACAAATGGGAATAATTTTGAACAATTTTTGTGATAATTTTTATCATATTTTCTCCACTAAATCTTAGATTATTGAAATTAGATTTTTAATGCACATAACCCGAAAATACCTGTAACTCCGTTATCTTAAATTTTTTATATAAACAATTTTTTGCCAAACAACTTATTTTGGCGAGATATATACCCTGTTAAAAAAAAACCTCACTTTCAGATTCACCCTGTATATGATCCCAGTTTTCGTGATTCAATCGGTGTTTGAAACCCTTCACGTTTTGCTCTTTTAGTGTTCAAACTTTTAGTTTTTTTTTCGCCAATTTTTCTGTATGCTGCGCACAGTGCATACACAGTTCTAGTAAGCAGTGGTCGGAGATTTGTAGTTCGGTGATTGTGCAGGTTAAATGGAAATCTTGTATGTTTCGATGAGATTGTTGTTCCTTTTTGTGTTGTACAGATACGTGTAGACTTGTTCTTGTTTCGCATTTTGCCTGTCGGTGATTATACAGTGGTGATACACATGACGATTATTAGGCTCGTTATTAGGTTTGTTCCAACTCCTCAAAAAACCGTCCCAGAACGGTTTCGGAACCACTCTGTATACGAATTTCGGTTTCTGCGCAAAAATTTGAGGTTTTACGCAGAATCCTGATGGTAATAATAAGATTTCCTGCTGGGTTGGAACAAAGCTAATATTAATTTTATTTCTGGGTGCTCTAGTTCAATGCCACAGTATATTCTATGTCCATTTCCTCACTAGTTTCTTCTATCTGCTTGATGTTCCTTGATCTTGTGTTTTGTTTTGTATATATTGCCGTTCCACCATGGTTTCTGGTTTTTTTTTTTTCTGGTAAATGCTGATGTCAGTATTTCCATAAATTGTATCCCCCTTAGGTCATCCATGTTTCAGATAGACACAGTACTCTTGGCCGTAATTCATTTGTAAGCAGTTCTATGTTATTTAAGTTGTGGGGTAGGGATTGCACATTGAGATGAAATAGGTACGCTCATAATTTTTTTTTCTTTTGATGCACCGCTTGTTTTCGATGCTGATGGTTTTTCTCGTGTGTTTTTCGTTGGTATAAAAAATCCAGTCTCATGTTTGTAGAGTTTTTCACTGATTTCTTTGCTTCACTTAAGGCCTCTCGTATCTGCATTTTTTCAATGTCCTTGGAGCTTATGTATGGCGGAGAGTCTTCTTTCCGTACATGCTTTGTCGTTCTTGCAATATTTTCCCGCCCCTGGTTTCCTTCTTCTTGTGTTTCCCCTTTTTTCCTTTCTCCAGGCTCTTGTATGACACTCATATTTACACTGAGGTAATCAAGGTCTGTTTGTGTAGATACTAGATTTGGATGCACACTCTTCAATTGACTTTAGTAGGCATTTTGTTACAGTCCACTTCTCCTTTGAGTCAATGTGGCACTGTGCACTGTCCAATACATTTTGGGTTTTTATTTTATTGTTTGTGTCGATGTATATCACGTCATCTTCCATAACTAGTTCTTCAGGTATTTTGATTTATTGATGGAAAATTTTGTTTAAAGGTCTTTTATTTGGTGTCGCTGCAGCATTCCAAACGGTTCTCTCTTCCCCATGGTACATCCAGAAGCACTTACACATTTTAGTGCCCTCCATTTGATCTTTTTTTTAATTTTTTCCCATTGTTTCATAGGGCTAGAGTAGAGGCCGAGGTCTAGACAGTACTCGAGGTTTTTACTATACTGAATACGGGTTCAGAACCCAAAAACTGCCTGTCTGATCCTTGTTTGGCTAAGGACAGGATGAATAAGTTATTGCAGAGTTAATTAGTGGAATGCGAGTCAATAGTAAGACAGTCAATTGTGATTACTTAAGCTTGATTGTAGTTGAACGACGTGTTGTCGTGATTTTTCTGTTATTGTCAAAGTATGTAGAATATTTTTGAAAGAGAACAATTTAACTTATCTACAAAATGACCCAGTCTTTAAAGAAATGTGTATGTTATTCCTGGATGGTAGGCGAATCAACCTAATATTGTACTTTATTGTTGTGGTGATAACAGTGTAACATTTTCTTGGCTTGCCATAGCGAAGTCCTTACAGCAATGTAAATGAAGCCAATTACAAATCCATCAAGTTTGAAATTTGAACCTGTAATAACTTGTCATCTGTCTGAGATCCACACATGTCATCTATTAATGCTTATAAAAGAAAATCTACATTAGGCCTGATCGAGAAGGAGGGTTAATGTTAATGTTTATTCCTAAATATTCAATAACTGAGAAGAATCTCATTAGGATTTTTTAATAGAGCTTCCTCAGTTCCGATGTCAATAATTTATTGTGATTAGAATTACTGATTAACTTAAGTCGAGAGCCATTGCAGATTCAAAAACGTTTGAACTCTTAACACTGTCAATAATGAAAACATACTAATTATCCTTCACTGAAACATCTTAACTAACATCTTTAAACACTCATTGAATGGTAATATTACTACAATAAAAAAAGATGTATGAGTTTTTAAAAAATCAAGATTTGTCGCTTGTGTAACTATGTATTTTTTTCAAATAACAACAATATTTTTATTGGGATTTAGTAGTTGAGTAGTTGATCAATTAAATGCGAAACTGAATATCGAGGAATTTTGTAATTATTATTGAGTTGCTAAATACGGATCGGTTGTGCAAGGTTTTGTATCGGTTGATATATTTAGCAATTAAAGTAAAATTATTTAATTTATTTTGATACTGTCTTTAGAATGAGCATTGTATGAAATTATATATGGATATTTTGAGGTAGGTGTCCTTATAAGAAGTTTTATGTGATCATTTTCAAGTGTAAGCGAGCAGCAAATTATGAATTTTCTGGATTTTTTCTTTCAAACAGGCAACTTTTCACATTTCTTTCGTGTTTGGAATAGTTGTGTTCAGTGTTTATAAAGTTTATTGCTCCCATACTTTGAAAGTGTAACATTTTCTTGGATTGTCACGTCATCTATGCCACTAACGCTTATAAAAGAAATTCTACACTGGGCCTGATTGCATTTCATTATAATGAAATATCTATATTGTAGTAAAACTTAAGAAGTTTCACTGCTTAGATTAAAATCCATAATGCGACAAGTTGTTGGACTTACCATTTGTTTTTGTACTTGTCTTCGGCTTCAGTCATGCGATTTTTGGTCGCCTCGTACACGTCTTCGTTGGCATGCACCCGAATCTTGTACCGGATCGATCCGAGACTTTCGAGGGGCCCCCGAGGGGGAGTGCCCTGGATGCACTCGAAGCTGCCAGCGGGGCCCTCCATGTCGGCCGACGTCGACATGGCGAAACTGAACGACGTGTGACCGGATTCATGGTGCTGTGACGGAAACGAAAGCTCCTGGGAAAAAAAAAAATGTTTGAGACACATTGGATAATAACTATGACAGGACAATATAAGCTAAAATATGCGCTATAAGCTTTTTGCCTCCTGTTTGGACATTCTTCAAGTATTTTAATATTAAGTTGGCAACTAGGTATATTATTTTATTTAAACATTTTGTGACAACCCTTGTTTTCACATGGCCATAGGGCAGCAGTTCAATAAATTTGTTCCCTGCAGATTTTCTAGGCTCAAGAAAAACAAACATCTTCTAGTATTTTTCTGTGAGTCTTCTATAGTTTGCCAACCTGAAAGGCCTGAGTGAAAGCAATAAATTGTACTATAAAGTGGCTATTCCATGTATAAAAATAAGGAAATCATTTTTATTTAATTGCCTTCTAAATCCAGTAACTGTTAATACGAAAATAAATAGAAACAGTTATCAAAAATGCCAACCAGAAACACATTGGCTACGTTCACCAGAACTGAAACAAGTTGTAAACAGTTCACAAATACCAACAGAATATGTTGGGCAAACTCTTGGTTCTGCTGAAGGATTCAACTTTTCAATAATAGAAAATAGAACGTCAAAATCTGAATGTCATGTCACCACGCAAAACACTAGTGTTGAAAATTATAAACACTTTTAATTTATGCTTGCAAAAATGGCGATCGTTTGCAAAACATGTTTGGTTTCAACACAAATTCAACGTAGCGTTCAGCAGAACAATCGCAATGCGTTTACCAACGTTTGTATCTGGTGAACGTGGCCATTGTTTGCCACAAAGTCGATATAAATGCAAAAAAAAAGTCAGTGAATAGCAGACCATCCTATCGATTTCAATTTTTAATGAGATTTTCAGATTTTTTTTATCGGACCGATTACCCACACGGGTGAGGCCTCAGTTTATAATTTTTTTTTATCTGTCAATAATTTTTTATCAAAAGGCTTTTTCGTGTGGAAATTCTACTATAAAAACACTTTATAATGAATAATAGATGGGTATAGGTATAATCATTTAGTCTAGGAAAATTGTCGATTTTCAAAAAAAAAAATCCTACCCAAAAGAACTTTTCAGGGATGATAGGGGGAGGGTGGGTGATCATAAAACCGAAAATATCAAACATTCACCCCTCTGGCGTTTTGCGCTATAGGGGTTGAAAGTGCGCCATTGGCGATTACTTGGTACCTATTGATTTTACAGATAAATGTTTCAAATAAAAGATGTGCAACATTATTTGATCTACAATGTTTATCTAAAGACTTTTTCGATTAAGGGCCGTCTGTGGTTATAAGGGCCGTCTGTGGTTATAACGGCCGTTTGAAATTTTATAATGAAAATGAAAAATTTTAACCAACGTGAAAAAAATTTCTACAACTCATACAACATTTTTGCTTTATGAAGTTTTTACTCACCCCCTGCCGTTTTTCAATAGGGGTAGTTTAAAGTTTTTTTATTTTTTTACAAAAAAATTTTCTTAATAAAAGTTTTATAAGATGATATTTCCTACAATTTTTCCTAATCAACTTTTTTTGTAACTCACCCCCATTCAGCGGGGGGACACTTCCCTCGGGGAAATTTTAGTTTTTAGGGGTATATATTAATTTTTTTTTTCTTTTCTCGCCTTTAGTGCATATTATAAGTTGCAATTAACATTGTATTAGAAGGAATTTTTTTTCACCACCTTTTTGTTTTTAGGGGTAGTTCGCCTATTTTCAACTTTACAAAAAAAAATTATTAAGAAAACTTGTTCATTATATTATTTTGGGCAACTTTTCTCTATAACTTTTTTTTGTAAAGTTGAAAATAGGCGAACTACCCCTAAAAACAAAAAGGTGGTGGAAAAAAATCCTTTTAATACAATGTTAATTGCACCTTTTTATATGCACCAAAGGCGAGAAAAGAAAAAAAAATTAATATATACCCCTAAAAACTAAAATTTCCCTAAGGGAAGTGTCCCCCCGCTGAATGGGGGTGAGTTACAAAAAAAGTTGATTGAGAAAAATTGTAGGAAATGTAATCTTATAAAACTTTTATAAGGAATTTTTTTGTGTGAAAAAATAAATAAACTTTAAACTACCCCTATTGAAAAACGGCAGGGGGTGAGTAAAAACTTCATAAAGCAAAAATGTTGTATGTGTTGTAGAAAAATTTTTCACGTTGGTTAAAATTTTTCATTTTCATTATAAAATTTCAAACGGCCCTTATGACCACAGACGGCCCTTAATCAAAAAAGACTTTAGACAAACATTGTAGATCAAATAATGTTGCACATCTTTTATTTGAAACATTTTTTTGTAAAATCAATAGGTACCAAGTAATCGCCAATGGCGCACTTTCAACCCCTATAGCGCAAAACGCCAGAGGGGTGAATGTTTGATATTTTCGGTTTTATGATCACCCACCCGCCCCCTATCATCCCTGAAGAGTTCATTTGGGTAGGATTTTTTTTTTTGCAATACATGTATTTTTCGACTATTTTCCTAGACTAATTGTCGTATTTGCCAAGTAACTCGCGGGAGTAATCACTAAAAAATTCAATGAAAACAAAAAGTGAGTTTAAAAATAAATTAGGTGACGTGAAAGTTTGCAAAACACACACTCCGTTATGACATTTCTGTTTTGTTATTTTGAAATTCCAATGTGCGGATTAACTATGCTAATAGTTAATGACGTCCAAGGAAGATAGAGGATAAATAAACATATCCAATAAAATCGCAACAGTTCTTTTCAGTAATGGATGATACTTTATAGCCTGGAGTAAAATTTAAAAGAGATTAAACAGAAATTTAATGACAGTTATAAAGATAAAGCTGTACAATACCCCAATCGGTTTTATGTGGCGCGCCTAATGTTAACATAAAAGATGTAATGATAAAGTAATTGGCTGGCTTGCCTGTAATAATAATTCATTGATATTTCTAATGTTTTTAAAAAATAATATTAATCAGGGCCACAAGGGGCTTAGTACATTCTAGTCAAATCCCTTCCAGGTGGGATTAAAACTGTTTTTATATAAATACATTTAAAATTACGGTTGCTGAACAATTTAATCTTTTCTAATCTTTGTAATAATTGTACTTATTAAAATCCCATTAAAGCCTTGTTTTTCAATAAATGGAAAAATATGTAAGTATACATATTTTAAAACTGCTTAAGGCAAATTGAGCTTGGACCAAATATAATAAAAATTCAACTGCCTGCGGAAATATCATCATTTTCCAAAGTCAAACATTTTAACGCTCCAAGGTTCATCTTTGACAATGCAACCCTTAATTGAGTCCTTCAGTCTTTTGCTGTCCTTTAATTATCTCTTTTTAATTGGAAGGGCGGCCTACATTGCCGTGCTAAAAATAACATTTTCATATTGATTAGACAAGATTAATTATTATGTTGAAATTTTTACATTTTGAATGAGACAACCATGAGAAGGACTAGAAGGAGAATAGTTGATTAACCGTTTTTGGAAAGATGAAGTAGATAGTGGTTTAACAATAATATGCTTACAATAAACTTCACTAAAACAACTTTTGTACCATTTAGTAGTTACAGTAACACACTACCCCCATACCAATCAATACAACTTTTAGTCGACTCAAAACTTATTCAAATCAACAGCTGTAAAAACTATAAATACTTAGGTGTTTTTGTAGATTGTCATTTAAGATGGAACCACCACACGGAATATATCTCGAAAAAAATAAGATCACTTTTGCACAAATTCCGTTTTTATACGAAGATATTTAAGTTAGAGCAGTTGAGGGTATTGTATTATGCCCTTGCACAATCACATTTAAATTATGGTATTTTATCTTGGGGTGCTGTAACAAACAAGCATTTAGAAGTACTTAATATCTCCCAAAAGTGGCTTCTTAAAATAATTTTTAAAAAAGACAGACTCTATCCTACCAATTTATTATACAACGAAACGGAAATGCTTGACACAAGGCAACTTTATTTCAAAAAAATAGCAATTGGACTCTTCCTTAATAAAATTCCTATCACAAATATTGAGCATGGATATGAAACAAGAAGCCGCATGAACCAAAATCGTCCTAGGCCTAGAGTATCTAAGGCCATAGGTCAGCGTTGCTTTCTTTACGTAGCGCCCAAAGTTTTTGAAAAAATCTCCAACATTCTCCTCCAAAACATCTCTTTACTCACTTTTAAAAGAAAATTGAAAATATTCTTTATAACAGAAATATCAAGAGAAGAAATTCACAATATTGTTGATGTCAAGAATAACTGAGCAATTGGACATTATCCGTCCAATTAGTAATTAGTAGTTAGCATATTTTTTTCTTATATGATAGGTATATAGCTTATATTTGCATTCTCATTTATGAAACATTTTTAGATTAGGTAATGTAGCATAGAATTATTTTTAAAGTAAATTCACAGCATTGTTGATGTCAAGAATAACTGAGCAATTGGACATTATCCGTCCAATTAGTAATTAGTAGTTAGCATATATTTTTTTTTTTTTTTGTTTGATAATATGATAAGTATATAGCTTATATTTACATTTTCATTTATGAAACATTTTTAGATTAGGTAATGTAGCATAGAATTATTTTTAAAGTAGATGTATTATAGTAATATTTTTCCCCACGCGCGAGGTTTCTCTTGTGGGAGAGAAATTCTGTATTTATTGTCAAATTATAAAATGATTGTAAAATCTATATTGTACTAAATGCCAATAAATGCCATATAATAAAAAAAAAAAAAAAAGATATCCAGGAAACATTTTCATGGCAATTTATTTCAGATATTAAAGATTCGCGAATGATGAACCATATAAACCTGCACTGTACGTAAATGGGTGAAAAGCGAGGTGAAAAGTCGCTCTTGATGAGCTTTGCCAATTTTTTACATAATTTACAATCAAGAAAGTCCTAAAACCGAGAGAGAAACTCCATGTACGGACTGTAAATTTCTTGTTTTTTCACAAGTTTTGTTACCAAAAACAATGTATTCATGTCGCAACATAAATGATACTGAGGATTAATGATTTAA